TCTTTCCCTGCAGTGGGGAGGAATGTTTGAATCACGTGGATCCTGATCCAAGGGACGAATGCCAGACTACTGAAGCCTTTTTCAGGGGACATCAAAATGCTAGAAATGTTATCTAAACCTCACAACCATGATGGAGGTGTTCAGTATGTCTCTCCTCACTTTGCAGAGAGGAGAGACTGAAAGTGAAGGCTGAGGACCCTGACTTCCATTGCTCTGTTCTCATTATTGAGTCAAAAAGGAAAGCAGCGTTTCATCACTCATCTTTTTATCCTGTGTCAGTATAATCTGTCCTTAAAATGAGACAACATCATTAGCTACTGATGCAGCCCAACCAATTTTCAGTGTCTGAAAACACTAGGTATGTTCTGATTATCCTGTTAGACCTAACCCAGAGGAGGGAAGTGTCTTGAGCGCTGGCAGGAGATGAGGCAGCACAGGCGGCAGAAGCTAGGCTGCAGTGTGGGCAGCATGAACTAGTTACCCTAAAGTGACTTGATCTCAGGTTTGTGGTTTGGGCTGGGCTGCGTGTACATGCTGCTGTCTGCAGGTAGATTCAGGATTCAACCAGGGTTTCACTGTATTTGAATGACCTCAGCAGCTTAGCTCGTTCAACTGCTTAGCCCTATTCTCAGCCTGCCACAGCATCAAATGCATTAAGAATGAGAAGAGCTCTTCAAGGTCCCATTTAAGGTCTCCTGTAAGGACCAGGCCAAGCTTGTTTCTTCAAGCCTGTTAGTAGAAGTTTGCCCAGTTTAGATTTCAGTGTCCCAAGCACGAGGTTCCCACCCTCCCTGCTGGAAGGGAGACACAACTCTACAGGCTATTGACCCTTCCTGACATTTTTTCCTAGTATTCAGCCAGTCTAAAAGGGCCTTTGTTCGATTTTTCCTATCCCTTCTCAGTGACACCCTTTGGATCACCCTAAACAATCCCTCCCTCCTTGCTAACTAAGCCCTCCTGAATCCCAGTCAGTGTTTATTATTCAGCATCCTGCTCCCTCTCAGTCGTGTTCCCGGCTGCAGGCGCTCCCTGCGGTCCCAGGGCAGTCGCCCTGCTGGGCAGAACACCTCCAGCCTCCCACACCGGAGCCCCTGGCTCCTCTCTCTACCCTTGCTGGGAAAAGCAATGTGCTCACGAAGGGCAGTGTGGACATACACCCAACCCAGCAGCAGGCTGTCTTTTGGGCTTGATTGTTAAATCCTGGTGAGCTTTAACCAACTGGGGATTGAGCTTTGCTTTCCTTTCTTCCCCTGTTTTCTTGCTCCCTGTCCAACCCAGTGTTTCCAGCCCAAGTCCTCCTCTTCTTTGCAGTCTGTTCCCATTTCTGTGCTTGACAGCTTTTCCTTGCTCTGGACAGTGTGCCAGCCACAGATACCGTTAACCTCCTTGCTGGGAGCCCCCACCCCATGTGCGCACACACACGTGCACATGTGTGCACATGAACACATACACACTGGGTTCCTTGTGCAAGTAGCGGTCCTGGCTGAAGGAGAGCCCTTGGGCTCTCTGCCATTCCTCAGCAATATGCCATGGACTATTAATATCCTCCAAGTGTGAATGCTGCCCATTCATTGGGCTGGCTGCGGGGGGAGCTTGCGGTGCGTGCATTTTCTGCTCCTCCTAGCATTTGCCTCGGCAGCACCCCAGCGGCCAGCTCTCTCCAGTGAGAGCAGGGCCGAGCGCACGCGGGGATATGCGTTGGACTGAGTGGTTTCGTCCTGCCCTCCTTGCCTCCTGTTTATAGTTCAGTGTCTCAGAGATATTTCCTGCCTCTCTGCCCCCACCCCTCCTTCTCGTTTCCCTTCTTGAATGAGGAAACGAGTGGAAAATGCTTGAAATCTTCCTCTGAGCTGAGCCCTTTTTCCACTGGATGCTGGAG